TTTTTTTTTTTTTTTTTTTTTTTTAAAGAGAGAGAAAGAACATGAAGCCAGGTAGGTGATTTTGTAAGAACTGGGGGATGGAAAAAAAATGATCAAAATATATTGTATGGAAAGAATTTATACAAAAATTAACTTCAAACAATCTATCATCTACATCATGATCCTTATTCAACTGCTGTCCTTGCTCTTGTGAGTTTTTTTCTTTTCTTATGTCTTTAGCTTGTGCTCAAATCTAATATTGTGTGGCATCAATTTCTTTGGGTTTTGTTTGTGTTTGTTTTTTTTTTTTTTTTTTTTTTTTTTAAAGAGAGAGAAAGAACATGAAGCCAGGTAGGTGATTTTGTAAGAACTGGGGGATGGAAAAAAAATGATCAAAATATATTGTATGGAAAGAATTTATACAAAAATTAACTTCAAACATTCTTTCATCTACATCATGATTTTTATTCAGCTACTTTGTTATCAGCTTTTACCAAACATTCACAAAATTTTATATCTAATCTAATTTGTAAGACACTCTTAGAAGGGAAAGACACTCTAATTCTTATGAATACAGGTCTGAGAAAACTTAAAATATTGGGAAGTACTATTATAAATTCAATAAAAAGATATAAATGATGATAGTAAGGGATACTGTGACATGAAGTAAAGCACTAGAGTAGTGGATCTCAACCTGTGGGTCACAATCCCTTTGTGGGTTCAAAGACCTTTTCACAGGAGCTTCATATCAGATATTTACATTATGATTCATAACAGTAGCAAAATTACAGTTATGAAGCAGCAACAAAAATTATGTTGGGAGTCACCACAAGATAAAAAAATGTATTTAAAGAGTCACAGCATTAGGAGGGTTGAGAACCACTGAATTAGTAAACAGTCTTTAAACTTTGTCTTATTATCTAATAATATTAAACAGAAGTGTTGAGGTGGTTTGAATGAAAATGGCCCCCATAGGTTAATAGAGATTGACACTATTGGGAAGTGTGGCTTGTTGGAATAGCTGTGGCCTTGTTAGAGGAAGTGTGTTAATGGGAGTGGGCTTTGGGGTTTCAGAAACCCAAGCCAGGCCCAGTGTCTCTTACTTCCTGCTGCCTGCTGATCTAGATGTAGAACTCTCAGCTCCCTCGCCAGCACCATGTGTGTCTGTGTGCTACCATGTTTTCCTCCATGATGATAATAGACTAAATCTCTGAACTGTGGGCCAGCCTCAATGAAATGTTTTCCTTTTTAAGAGTTGCTGTGATCATGGTGTCTCATCAAAGCAATAGAAACCCTAATGAGACAAGTGTTTGTTTCTAAAGTCAAACATTCATCTCATTTTACCACTTTCCTTCTCATTAGAAAGTATCCTAGTTAGTTTTTTGTCAACTTAATACAATGCCTCCAGTAGGGCATTTTCTGGATTAATGACTGACATGAGAAGTCCCAGTTCACTGGAGATGGTGCCACTCTAGGGAGGTGATCCTGGGTTCTATAAGAAAGCAGACCGAACAAGCCAAGGGGAGCAATCCAGGAAGCTGTATCTCTTCATGGCCTCTGCATTGGCTCCCACCCCCTGGTTCTTTGTAACTTAGCTTTATGTTTTCAGGTTCCACTCATGGCATGGCATGTCTTAGTACTTCACCCTTTCTATGGTTGTGTGGAAACAATGCGTTTCCTTTACGTAGTCCTCGCTGGTGGACATCTGATTGTTCCCAGCTTTCGGCTACTGTGACAGGTGGTACAGAGCACTGGTGTTTAAGTAATGGCTTGAGTTCTTCTTTTCCATGTTTGAGTACATACCAAGGAGCACAACTGTCAAATCATGTAGGACTTCTGTTTAAACTGTTCTCATCACTTTTTAAACAGACTTTCAATCAACCCTCTTCCTTTGGACCCTTCCCAATATACTTCTAAAGGTGCCCACAACACTCCTGAGTCAGTAGGTGTGCCACAATCTTCTGGTTAGCTGCCTGTGTGTGTTCTAGTATGCTAGCTGCTGTCTTAAGATTCAACATGGTGGGAGCTGGCTCACTCACTTATGTCTCATCTGGTTTCAGGCTTCAAAACTTGCGTCTCTCTCATCTCATTCTTTCTGGCCTTTGTTATTATCTGTTCATGTTTCTATCATTTTTTTAAAAAAGAATTTCAGAAATAAGGGAAAGAAAGAAGGAAATATTCACTCTCCAGTGTTAACTCAGAAATCTACTAGTTCTATCAACTGAATGTTAATCCTTCTCATTTGCTTTACTGTGGGGGATATAAACATTTAATACAAGAACAACTGTTTTCAATATGCTGATAAGGATGTCATTATGATGGTTATTTCAGATACATTTTAATACTTTTAAAATTGTTATAATTCTGTTATATTCTAACACAGCAAATTTATAGAGTTTATATAAATCTGTTTTCAGTTGCTATAACAAAATTCCTGACACTGGGTCACTAATTAAAAAAAAAGATCATTCAAATTCAATTCACAGTTGTAGAGTTAGAAAGGCTAAGATTGATTGGCCTCATCTAACTTGGCTTCTGGTAGAAACTGAATGGATCATGGATTGGAATAAAGAGAAAAACCATATGCTGAAGGGGTAGAGAACAGTGTGGCCTCTTAGGAAAAGCTGTCTGTCCATTCTGAAGGTGATAGCTTTATGGTTCAAACACCCAGGACTAGGCCCCAATTCTCTAGGTAAGAGTCAACCATCTATCAACAGTGCCATGATAGGGACTGAACTTCAATCATCTTAATCTGGTCAGAAACTACATCTAAAGTATAAAAGTGGTTAGAGGTCTGAAAGGAAATCATCCTGGGTGCAGATTACCAGGAAACAGCAAGGTGTTGGGCAAAAATGAGGCATGAAAAGGAAGTGGGCCCTAGGAGCCAAGACTGGAGTCTCTAAGCTTCTTAGACTATTTCCTTAAAGGACATACTTTGAAGACTTAAGTGTCTTGATAAAATGCTTTGAGTTGGAATAAATCTCATCACTTTCCGCACAGATGCAAGCTGAGCTAGCAGGAAGGTGTATCTGCAGTGAGTTAGACTGAAGACACAGCTGGTTACATTCTCACATCAGAGTCATAGAAGCAGGCAGAGAGAGGTCATCTTTTTCTAATCTTCTCTCTTCAGAAGGCATTAATGGACACTGTAATCTGGTTTTCACCTGTAATTCTAGCACACTTGTGCACCTGCACAGCTCAGTAGTTAGGATAAAACATCAGTTTCTTGAGAAGTGGGGAAGCCCAGGGAGCTATTTCCTCCCAGAAATTATGGCAAAGGTATTCTTTCCAATACTCTGTTGGAAGATAAAGCCAACTTCTAGAGTTCTTCTACTTTCCTTTTAAAACTATTCAGAAATTCTACATACAAATATTACAAGCACACTCACAAAACGTATGCCGGCTAAAGCCTTAATTTTTTTTCTTCTGTAAAGTGGGAAGGATCTTGGTGAAGAATCAGGTGCGATGTCTCCTGCACCCTGAGTAAGAGAGATAAGAACCACACCTCCCGCACTGATGGCTATTCCCACTCCTACCACAGTCACCCACGGTACTGTTCCAAGGCAAGCTCCATGTGAGACATGGGAAGGAGGTTGAGCTGCAGTGATAGAGGAGCTATCACAGAAGAAGCAAGATTTGAGAAGATAGTTTACCTAGGAAATTGTGTCATTTCAACAGTTATCTAAAAGAAACAACAGGGTCTTTCAGATTAAAAAAAATTAAACTTTGGATCAAAGCAAAAATATTTCCAGATATAGAGTTAAAAAAGTCAGTGAAAATATTTTAGGACAAAAATTAAAACATCATTTTTTAAGAAAGTAACATAGTTATTCCCTTTTACACAGAAAATTACTCTAAAATTTTATTTATACCAATTACTTTCCCTAGATGTCTCAAAGTATTTTAATTTTCAATTACAAAATTTTAACTATTCTACATCGTAGACATCAAAGCAACCAAGTACAAATAAAAGAAAGGCATGCTTTTTAAAGTAATGCATTACCATGACAGGCTCAATCAGAGACCAAGAGAGAAGATTCGGTTGCCAAGCATTTAGCAGTAAAACAAAGTCTATGTATGTTTACATTGGAACTGCATGTTTTTATATTTCTGCTACTTACTGCCAAGAAAATGCGATACTGATTATTTAATAATAATTATATTTTCTTGGTTACTGAACTCTAGCATCTAATTTTAATAAGACTTTTGTGTTAAATTTTCATTAATTCTAGAGTACTGCAAGGTATTTAAAAACATAAGAGCACTATTCTTCATGTTTTTCATAATTCCTAGTATTAGTTTAATGCACATGCTTTAAAGTCTTATAGATGCGGCGTTGCTTTTATGTAAAGTGTTTAGTTGTCACATAGGCAAATGCAGACTATCACAATTCCATGCCGTGTCATGGAGCATGTCTACTCACCTGCACTCCTCAGGTTGGGGTCCAGCCCCGGCATCTCTTTGTTGGCTTCCGGGCTGACACTGTAGATGGAAGCCCCTGCTTCACTGACGATACTGAGGAAACAGAAAGTGGGAACATTATTTTCCAAACGTTCCATCTGGTCAAAGAGAGTAAGTGAATGAAACTAAGCATTACAAGAAAATACCAAGGCAAGGCGCTCTCTGCAGAGCTAAACAAAAACTACAATATCAACTATTCCACCATATAAGTAGCACTGAGATATGCTTATCTGCCTTTCTGTAGAGCAAAAACACAGGCTTACTGCTCCTGTATTTGGGAAGCACTCTTGACTGACATTTATGAATTCCACTGGAATCAATCACCCTAAGCATTTTGGGAAGTATACAATTATAGGTATGGCAGTTATGTACATGGGTGGACACACAGCAGAGGCCACTGCCATAACACTATTGTTATTACCTGGTTCTAGCTAACATACAAGAAAGAGAAAGGTCAGATGGGCCAGCATCCTTTCAGGAGGTTCAGAACCATCCTTTGAGCAAACCTGAAGCTTTCACTTCGGGCAGGCACTCAGGTATTTTCTCACTCAATGCACCACACAAACCACACTTCTCCTGTCTCCTGGGGCTCCAAACTTTATACACCACAAAGAGAACAACCTCGCAGACACCACTGGTACAGTGTTTGACCAAACATTTTAAATTGGAGTTCTCATTTAAGACATATAAGCAAAGAAACACTATTTACTTTTCAGCACCCAATAGACCCTCAGCTGTGTCACATGACCACCCACATGTGAGGGTTCACAGAGAATCATGTCAGTGTATTTATTCTTCTTTTAGCGACCTCTCTCATTCTGGGTTCCTCAAATTCCACTTCAACCACCTGAGACAAACTGATAATGTTTAACATATTGCCCTTTGCTATTAATCAAACACTGAGAAATCAAAGGGAAAACTCTAGATTGAAATGTGACAACTGTAAGTCACTAACACTTGAGATTATTCTAGAGCAGCAGTTCTCAACCTGTGGGTCTTGACCCCTTTAGGGTTAAGAGTTCCTGACATCCTACATATCAAGAGATTTACATTATGATTCATAACGGTAGCAAAATTAGTTATGAAGTAGCAACGAAGTGATTTTATGGTTGAGGGTAAGCACAACATGAGGAACTGTATTAAGGGCCGCAGGAATCAGGAAAGCTGAGAACCACTGTTCTTGAGAGTCTGAAGACAGGAAACAGAAGCACTGCTGTTGGAAAGCATGGCTGATGTTCGTTCCTTAGGAACACCACCACGAGGATAGTGTAAATGGTAGCAGAGCAAACATTTTCCAAAGCACAAAACCAAGTCCTCCACAGAAATAAGCTTAGTGAGTCAGGTCCTATTTATAGGTAGGCAATGTGCTCAAGGTCACTGCTGAGGAGCCACCGAGCAACCATGCTGGGTCTGTATCCTACCCTGCCTGGTCCCCAAGGCTGAGCTCTGGACCCCCACAGCTGAGGGGACTATATTACTCTCATTGACATGAGAGTCCAGCTCTGTCAGCGTCTTTCCTAACATCCACTGTCTTAACAACAGGTCCCTAAGAACTCATACCTTCATCTAGGTATGCTACCTTCACCTAGAACCCAAACAAAAACTGAGTTTGTTTTCTTTAGAACTTAAACCATGTCCAAGATCAATGAAATCCTTAGCTTGAGCAAGTTTAACGTAAGAGAAAATTGTGCTTTTTCCCTCCAACGTAAGATCTAGATTATCCCCACCTTCTACTGCATACTGATTAAAGATAAAATGCAACATTAAATAAAGTGAAAAAAAACACAGGCCGGCGAAGTAGGTCGGCAGATAAAAGCGTTTGTCACCAAGCTTGAAGACCAAACTGAGTTCAACGAACTCAACTGCCAGAACTCACAGAGAAAAAGGAGAGAAGTGGCCCCTGAAAAATGGACTCTGACCTTCACTAGCGAGCCAAGGCACACGTGCCTGCATGTTCTCACAATAATAATAAATAAAACTTAGAATTGTAAGCCCCATGAACTGAAAAATCTTGGTATGGCCCAGAAAGATGAAGCTAATGTCACACACATTAGGAGGGACGTCATGTTCATTACAGCCGTTCGTAACTGAATGACCACACAGTGAGCAGTAGTTTAGTTAAAGTTACATTTGAAATGCTTGTGTTTATGCATACTTTGCCCTAGAAAAATGGGTAAAACTACCACAAGAGGACACTACTCAGGGACCAGCTATGGAAAGCACCATTTCAACACAAACCAAACTATCCTAATGAAGTCCTTTCTAAAAAATTTTAACTATTGATGGGCTACAGCCTGAACCCATTATTAAAAGAAAATATTTTTAAAAAATCTTTCTACAAATGTACTTTATATCATTTCCAGAAATTTCCAAAGTTATAACTATTTAAGTGAAGGGAACTTAAATGGTAAATTAAAACTTTAATTAACTGTGGCCTTTACTAGTACGGTACCTGAGAATTTACCAAATGATTCACTGTCTCTTGAAGGTTATAATTCTCAACAAACTGAGGGGAAACAGTTGTAAAGAAAAGTACTCAGATAATAAATATTCCTCCAAATTCCATACTGCCACTTCTTTTAAACAGAGGAATACAAAACAGATGTGACACACTGCACCCAAAGATTTTCAATTAACATTAATATTAAATCAATACAAAATGTAGAAATTTTCATGTGTCATACTTACTGAATGGGCCCAATAAACAGTTAAGTACTAATTATGGACCATAAAGCTAAATAATCTAGGTAAAGAGAAACTTCAACACTGATTATTCCAATATAAAACATATACACACCTAAGATGTGTATGTGTCTAAGATGAAAACAAATCAGAGTGGTGATAATTTTTCCAAGAGAATTTGCTGAGAACAAAAGCTATAATTTCCCTCTCCCACTGTTTCATTCCTGTTTCAAGTTCAAGGGCACACACTCAACAACAGAATGCGTGTCAGATTTATCAGATATGCTGTTTAAATTCCGTCTCCCAATCAACTATAGGGAATTATCCCAATGGTCTGTCAAATTCAGAAATATGAAGAAAATAAAATTGAACTTTGTAAAAGTATCATGTGTGAGTATGTACTGAGAATTTTATTTAAAAAGTAAGTTTCTCTCCAGCATAAACCAGTATTAAAATCATAGCAATTTGATTAGTTTATATATTTGACCATAAAGTCAACAGGAGTAACAGAAACTTACTATGCGGAGTATTTTAGGAGAGAAAGTTGCACATGAACTAACACTTTAAGAATCTCGCAGTGACGATCCTTTGAAATATACAGCTAAGACAAGCACCTGAATGGAGACATTTGACATCTTGAGCTTGTAATATACAAAAGAATATTTTAGAAGCCAACGTGGAGTTACATTTCCCCAGAACCGCATGCTATTATGATGATTCTCTAGAATTAAATAGGTCATTTTAGAAATATTTTACCTAAACACTATTTTGGGGTCTTCTGTGTCTTTTAATTTTTTTTAAAAAATCAAGTCATACCTTCACAACCTAAAAAGTCAGACATCTACAATATAGAAACAATTACGTTCAATTCACTAAAAAACTTCTCCCAAAACTGTAAGTAATAATACTGTATTTTTTGATTCCTCTAGTAAAATCCAATGATGGTGTTTATATAAAATAGATCATAAATCAGCAGCTGATTCTTTTCTTGAAGTGTTACTTCAGTTTCAGAATTGAAACCTCTCGGCTCTAACATGACGGACTGTTTTGATAAAATCTTGAGAGCACTTGTCTTAGTGACTCAGATCGTAAGAGAATGTGGTGCCTTTGCTTTCTTCTTTACAGACCCAAGATGAAAAAGTGAGATGATCTTCTTCATAAGAAAAGCTTGGGTTGTTAGTTTTTCCTGAAGTTACTAACAGTTTTCACATTCATTAGAGACGCTACGAAGCCTCGGCATGAATTTCTTTCTCTTTCCCCATTTTCCAAATATGAAAATAGCTTTGCTGCTTCCTCTGATGTTTAAAATAAATCACTTGCTTTCTTATGTTAGTGGAAAAATTTAATTCAAAAGTAATTTGCTTAAATTAAAAACGTAGTTACTGAGATTACAAAAAAAGAAAAAAAGAAAAAATCAGCCAGGGCATGATTACTCCGTTAATACAGAGTGCTGCGTTTCTAACTGGTCCTGAGACTGTGGTTCCTACTTTCTGTATCATACCTCTGCCATGCTGAAAAGCTAGCATTTCACTCAAGTCTTCAAAACAATTTTTCTAAATGCAGTTCTTCCGAGACTGGAAGCATCCACAGAGAAACTGAATGCATCCATGAATCTCAGTCCTAGGAAACACAAGGTCTCTGATTTTGTGCCTTCTCTTGGGCTCTTTTCCCACTGTTTGTTATCTGGTCCAACTTCACTCTGGTAGTTTTTATTTTATCTTAATTCTATTCTATTTATTTTATTATTATCCCTAAAAAAATACTAACAACAAATTGATTCCTTGCTCTGGCCATGAAGTAGTCTACTATGAAGTATGAATGGGTGGATAGTGGCTTCTATTTTAAAAACAGGTAATAAATCCAAAACTCAAGCTGCACAAACAGAAGAGCTCCAGGACTTGATACTTAAGGAATACAGCCAAGCTCCTTTAAATCCCTTTACTTACTGGAGCTTACCATTTCGGAGAGCTCTAGATCACTAGTTTGTCATTTTGAACACAAAGGTAACTTAATTGGACATTTTAGTACACACCTACAACTTCAGCACAGGGGAGGCTGAGGCAGGAAGACCATAAGTCAGTCTAGGCTATGTACGGAGATTCTCTCTCAAACCCCAAACAAACAAACAAACAAACACAGGCAATCTGTTTATGATCAAGAAGATAATGGGAGAAAAACTCAAACACTGGTAAGGACATTTAACTATAAAGCTTGTTGATAAAAACTTGAGCTAAAGTTATAAAAACTATCCTTTCTTCTTAACTTAGCAATAATTTTAGAATTTATATGAAACAGATTAAGAAACACAAAAAAATTAAACAGCACTGTTCATAGTCTAAAAGCAACCAAAACTAAATGAAAATCAAAATGCT